AGGAGATTTTTCTCTCTTTTTTTTTTCTCTCTCTTTTTTTTCCCCCCTTTCTTCTGTCTCGTCTGCTATACATGAATCCATCTTGGAGCGTATAGAGATGAGACGACATCAATTCTTGATGCGGTCTCATTGATAATCGATGGGAATGCGCTCTGCTCTGTTTCTTCACCGTCTACGACACCGATTTGTCTTTCTCGGGATGGCGTTGACAAGCAATATTGAGCACGCCGAGCTTTTTCCAACCCACACTTTCTTGCTCAACACAAGGAGCATTTCGCATCGAGAGTCCCTATCGACCCACCAAGAGGATCTGTCGTGGTCTGGCTTTATAATTTAGACACTGTCAAGCTTCCCCTTTTCAAACATTGGAGGTCTGGAGTACCGACTCCCAGACAGAAGTTCGTCATCCCCCCCTATCCCCACCCCTAAAGCCAAACATCCCCAGCAGTGAAAAGTCCACGCACGACGAGAGACCGCCCCCCCTCCCCCACACCCATCCTCCGTTCCCCTTCCGCCCCCTCCCCCATCCCTGCATCCTCCGTTCTCCTCTGTCCTCCACCCCCGGTGGCGGGCTTGGAAGCGCAACGAGTCCCGAGTGGAATCGGGAGGCACCGGGAGAGCAGGGGGACGTCGAATGGGGAATGTACTGGGAGATAACAGCTGGGACAAACCGGGAAATTACTTTCTGGATAATTTTACAATCCTTGATATACCGCCCCTTGGTTTATCTCCGCCCTCGCTCGCCGTCAGCTCTTTCCGGAGAACAAATCTTCCCCAAATGCTTGTAATAGACGATCACCCGTTATAGCACCGCTCTCGCAAGCCGTCATCAGCCGACACCATCAGCCGACACCATCAGCCGACACCATCAGCCGACACCATCAGCCGACACCATCAACCGACACCATCAGCCGTACAAGCATCCTTTTTTTCCCGCGTTTTTCCACTCGATATTGCGCCAAGTAGCTTAAGCGCCACAATCTTTCTCCAGTACTAAATGTTTCCTGCTCGCCGTGAGTGGTGACACTGCCATGGAATGGATTGCGGACAGGATAAATATTGAGAATCGAGAAGATAAAGGAAGATTAAACTGCATATCTAGTTAGTCAATTTGACTTTTGCAGATTTTGGTATCGTAGCTAATATCATTCGATACAGCGCCACTAGCGTTTTACCGCCAAAATTGGCGACGACCAACAGTGACATTATATCATGGGTTGACTGCGTCTTTCATAATTGCTATTATTTAGCAGGCGTGACTCTCCGACCTTTGGAAGGAGAGTGGTGGGGGCGGGGGCAAAGGGTGGGGGACAGCACTTAACCCTTATCCGGATAAGGGGAGTTCATTTGACTCACTGACTCACATTTTGTCTGATTTCGATTTATATATACGTAGTAAATATGTTTGCTTTAATATGCGTCTTTTTGGCGAAAAAATATTACCATGTGCGAAATTTTGAATATATTTTTTGCCCGCAAAAATGCGAAAACCCATTCCTGCCACAAACGGGGGAGTCCGCCAGAATCTCACTACATTCCACGCGTGCGTCTTTTGCACCTCAGGCAACTGGAGTTGCCAAACTGTGGTGAAGCCTGCGGTGAGTGCTTGATCGTGCGCGAATTCGAGCCAGCCTTGCGTGGTTATCTCGTTTGATTCATGCAACCTAAGGTAGGCCTAATATTGGTAAGATGTACGTGAACAGCACGCAAATTGCAAGATGCGAAAAATTAAAATAATTATAAGTTGTATCCGATTGTCACGCTGTTTTTCAGTCGTTTTCCTCCATCATTGACACCTAACCCTGAATATTCCCTTCAAGTATATTGTAGCGAAGGAGCTGGTAAAACAAACTATTTTCAAGGTTGACTTCAAAATGAGAATCGCGTGCAACTTATTTATAACAATCTTAATTCTGCTACTGTTCCCTTAGATACTACAGTACGATCTTGAATGTCGCAGAAAATGATTTAAAAAAGCATAATTGACAATGAAGAGTTGAATGACGATAATGATTACGCGCAAAAAGAGGACGAAGCGAGCAGTGAAGATGACCACGAGAGCGAAGCGATGGGAGCGAGTGATGCGCAGAGGGTGAGTCGAAAGAGTGGGCCAGAAATGCGAGTCGAAACGAAATTTGAACGTGAAAATCTCAGTAACTTAATTTTTTTGACGTGTGAATACTCCGGAAATTGGTCTGACGTTAACTTGAGATGATTGTAAACGGGACAGCCAAGCGAATATGAATCGACAATTAGAAATGAAAGGAAGAATCCACTGGACTCGCCTGCTTACGTTACGAAAACAGGGCGAAACACGACCCTGTCGGTGCTTTCCTGAGCAAGGCGGAGCCAAGACGGAGCGAAGTCGACGTCGACGCCGCCTTCTTCGAGGTGGAGACTTCGCTGGTCATCGACTCTGCTCGCTAGGTGTCGCACGCGTGCAGCGCCTCGGTCTTCCCCTTCCTCCGAAGGCCTTATAGGAAAATGACGGCTTAGCTGGTCGGCATTCCTCATCGCAATTAATGACGATTGCAAAATATTAAGTGTCTCTCCCAGGGCAAAAATGTTCTACAGACTCTTTATAGGAAGGTCTCTATAGGGTCGTATGGAATTCTATTATTTCACTCATTAGAATTCTATTAAATCACTGTATGGAAATTCCATGGAGATTCCATAGAAATCCTATCCCAGGTGCAATGTCTATTGTAATAAATATAACTGCATCAAAAATTCAATAGAAGTCTATAGGTCTCTCCGCGACAAATTTGCCTGGATCCATCATCTTTGACAACTGCGCCAAGAAGGGGGTAAATGTCAAATCTGAAATACATCAAAGGCGCTCTATGGCGGCGAGGAGAAATCTTTAAAATAAAATATAAATCCTTTACATGCACCAGGCAAAGTAAACTCGAACGTGCCACGAACGCCTATCTTCGGCACGCAGAGCCCGAAGCTCCCCCTCCACCCCCTTCTGAATGGCGTCACCAGCCAATTTTTTTCGCAACCTGAGCTGCCGACGATGGCTAAATCATCGACTAAAGCGGGAACGAGCACTTCCCGTTCCCGCCACGGCCGGGAAAGCAGACGACTGAAAATCACTGCGTCGCATTCTATTGAAACCGCATTCCAGCTTGCCAAGGCCAGGGTTGCAAAATGCGCTCTTCGGGTTTCCACGCACTTGGACCGAAAATCTGCTGATTTCCGCGAACGGAAGGCCACAGTGTGATTTGCAAATTATTTCCTACCGCCTTCGACATGGGAGCCGTGGGACTTAAGTGCCATATTTTTTGTTTGTCTTTTTCCCCTCAAAAGATGGAGAGGTCGACGGAGCATCACTAGCATCTTCCCAGCACACAATTTAAAACACATAACGCTGAATCAACGATGAATCAACATTGAAAAAACTTTTGGAACGTTGTTACAACGTTAGTCTAACGTAGCCTTGTTTTCTGGGTTGCTGCATGGTACGAAGTTTCTTGCGTGCCAATAAAATCGACCCGTTCCGAGCGCACCATTTCCTAAAATTCCTAAAAGCATGAGCCCCATCGTGACTTATGATATTCAGCGTTTCTCGTTTTTTTTTTTCCCCCTAGGGGTGTATTTTTGGAATCTTGATGTCTCTGGCTTCCGTATGCCCATATCATGTGAAACGCGAGCAATTTTTGTACTCGTCATTTCGGCCATAGATCTTCAGTTCCGTTTTCTTTCTCCTTTCATTTCCTGCTCGGCAGACCGACTCGGGGTCTCGCTCCCGCGACGGCAGTTCCGTCCAAACCTTCCACTGGCTTACGTTTGTTGCCAGCGGAGAGCGGAAGCCGCCGCCTTTCATTCTCCCTCTAGCATGAAGGCGGCCTTTGAGGGGTCGGAATGGGGGAAAAAAGGAGACGAGGACCCATTGGAGAGCCCCTGCAGTTAACCTATCGAAGCTTGTTCAAGATCCAGACTCGCTCGCACTCCGAGATACGCGGTGCATCGCGGATCGCGACACCCCGGCAGGGGTTGCATCATCATCCTCCTCGTTCCTCTGTCCCGCCATGTCGAGGACGGCTTTTGCGAAGCACAGAAGCCACTCAGACAAGAGGGTTCCAGGTTGCCTTCACCGAGATGCTTTCAATTTTCGGTGTCAGAATCGGCGCAGAGAAAACATTTCTGAAATGAAGATAGATTCGCAGCAAGTGGAAAAGGCTCGCCTCCGGTGGTTCCTTCACATTATATAACGAGCAACCGTGCCTTGGCTTCTGTGACGTCATGCCGGGAAGGTTCTCTCTTATGGCGTCTCCGCACGTGAGGCATGAGTGAGGGGTCTGTGCACGTTTTCTTCTAGTCTCGCTTCTGTTCACGGTAGCTTCTCATCTTCCCTGGTGAAAAACGGACTGAACTGAAACTCACAAAGGCAAAATGCTTGGTGCTGCGAGATTATACGCCCGGAAATTCCCGGAGAAGGGCTACCTTGGCCTAGGCCTGTTCAGTGATATATGCAGAGGTCTTTGCAATGTCAGCCATGTGAAGGTACGGATGTTATAAGCTTATTCACATTCACGAGTGTTAGCTACACGTGTGGAACTGAATTTATTCCATCAACCAGTACAGAAAGCGTACAGAAAAGCACTAAGAAGGAAGCAAAGGGGTGGTTAGAGCTAACCTTGGATCAACGTAACCCGGAATGATTTCGCGAGGAGCTTGAAAGCGTGAATTTTCATCCTGTAACATATGCTTTTGCTATACTTTAGGAATTTTCACGGCAGTAGCATTCAGAACTTAAACATTTCATCCTAACGTTCCGGAAAAGTTGCTTCTATTGGGCGCCCTTTAAACCCAGCCGCCTCATACCCAAAAGTAATGCGTTCCACTTTCAAGGTCGCCCCAACAGTATAGGGTAAACACCCCTGTTTTTAGCCATTTAAGCGCCAGTTTTTGGCCATGCTGATATGACTCCCATAGGAAGTGGACACCCTGTGTGCACACCAGGAAACACTAGTAATAGGTCCTGGTATGGGAAGATGTTGATAGTATGCTTGAAAATGGCCAGATTAACTAATTATGCTGGATTTAAGTCTCACTGGCCAACAACTGGAGACCGGCCAGGAACTGGGGTGCTTACCCTATTTTCCCCTCATTCTCTCCATTTTAGCTGACCAAATCCTGGTCATTTCTCCAGCAAAACTTATTTCTTGCCTAGAGGTCATTGTGGAAATAATAGAAGCTATTCATATGGATTCACTCCCAAATGGATTGGGAGAAGATTGAAACAATGACTCATGTTGTCCAAGAAGGCTTGGGCCTTTTAGACCAAGATGATCATTTTCTTTTATTAATTCCAGGGTGCAAGGAGTGTGCTAGGAACCTCTCATCATTTAGCCAGGTTAACACAATCAAGGAACAAGTGAGTATCCTACCTCTTTATTCTCATGAGTGTCCTGTGATTAATTAGCTGGCATGCCTCAGGGCTAGACATTCCATGCTGACTTCATACTTATTTTCAGGTTGGATGTCATGTATCCTTGTGTGCATATTACCTCTATCAAGGTTAACTTGGAATTTATCAGGTTAAAAGATGAAGGTTATGTGATGGTAGGCTTTAGGGAGGAAAGGAGTGACAGTGTAAGCAAATAATTATGAGTGCTGTGGGATGCTTGGCCTACCATTACAGGACTTCAAAATAATTCTGTAACTGTGTTGAAGGGGTAATTACAATGGTGAGAAAATCTTGCCAGGTATAGAATAGACAATTATTAGGCTTGAATTTCATCCTCCATCCAGGTTCTGTAATTAACCCTTTCACACATGGTGTCCACTATAGTGGACAGCAAAATTGTTGGTGATGATGGTTTTTTAGCCATGATATGCATACCTCAAAACTTATGCAGTCAACTCAAGTGCCCATAATTTCTCCAGTGTTGCTTTCTAGCGGTGAAACATGTGACTACCACGGCAGAGTACCTCTTTAAATGTTAAACCAAAAAAGGCATATTTTTCTTTTGCTCAAAAAATTAATATGTGAAAGGGTTAAGTGTGTTTATTATCTCAGCTAATGGTAGAGAGATATGCTATGAATCAATTACATGAAATAGCTGATCATGATTTGATCCATGTTGAATGCAAGAGAATTAGTTGGTCAGATCCATTTAAAGAAGATAAATAGGGAGCCTATATAAACAAGAGGACAGTCAATCTAAAAACACTTGACTGATTGCTTTTTCACTAGTTGTAGTTTCCTTGGTTGACCCTGTCTCCATGAAGCAATGCTCCTTCTCTTCTCAAAATTAGTTCACAAAGAATGCATTGGTAATGTTGCAAAATGCAGAAGAGAAGCATTGAGGTTGGTTGGTCTACTTTTTCTGAATACCAGATGAGTTTAAAGTCCAGTCTCATAGGTAACATGTATATTTACAAGAGGTGTTCAAATTGCATGCCCTGGAGGTGGGAACAGATGTCCACACAATAGAGGAAGCTTTCCCTTGTGCTGGAGGGTGTTAGGTGTGATAGCTGCACATTCATTACACATATTGTGTAAACATTGCATATTGAACAAAATATGGTCATTCCATATGAGACCAGACCTTTGACTCACCCTGCCTACAATATACAATCTTTTTAGCAAGAAAAGCCAAGTAACTGGTTGCAACAGACTCATTATTGGAAACATCTCAGTGATGAGAGAATACAAGGTAACTTCATAAGATAGCCAGTATACTAAACTGAGTGCTTGATCTTGTCAGTATGCTAATACTTTCATATTTGGAAAGGGGCACCTACATGGCACTACACATATGCAAGATAACTCAGCATTCTTATAACTGCTAAGTCCAAATTGTATTATTTTCACTCAGAAAATACTGCTTTTTATTTCATGAAATATAATTAATAATTATTGAAGAGAAAAGGTTTGCTTGTCTGCCTTGGTCATACTAAGAAAATTATGGCAGAAATACTCATTGCTGGGATTACTTTTTTTTTGTCCAGATCCGATGTCAAAGGAGCTGTCATTGGTATTGATCTGGGTACCACCAACTCCTGTGTGGCCCTCATGGAAGGAAAGACTCCTAAAGTTATTGAAAATTCTGAAGGCTCCAGAACAACACCATCTGTTGTTGCTTTCACACCAGGTAGAGTAGGACTTCCACTTTTTCTTATGAGGGTGAAAACCAGATTATGCCATGGCCTGCCCTGGATTTGTGGCTGTGACTTTGGGAGCCTCAACTTGACTGGGAAGACATCCATGTGTTGCTATTTATTGCAGATGGTGAGAGATTGGTGGGAATGCCTGCCAAGAGGCAGGCTGTCACAAACTCAGCTAATACTTTTTCAGCCACTAAGAGACTCATTGGTAGGAGGTTTGAAGATGAAGAAGTAAAAAAAGATATGTATGTGTCACACCTTCTGTACAAGATGCATCTCTCAATATAATTCACATACATTCATGCAACCTTTCTCATTTTAGGAAAACCTGCTCCTACAAAATTGTGCGTGCCTCCAATGGTGATGCTTGGGTGGAAGCACACGGAAAGCTATACTCTCCTAGTCAGATAGGTGCCTTTGTATTGATAAAAATGAAGGAAACAGCAGAGAGTTATCTTGGTCATCCAGTTAAGAATGCAGTTGTCACTGTCCCAGCATACTTCAATGATTCACAGAGACAGGCAAGTAATTTTGTTTCTCAGTTATTGGAGTGGCATGGAACTTGGCCTTCAGTTTGACTGAGTAATTGTAATATTTTTTTAGGCCACAAAAGATGCTGGTCAAATTTCGGGTCTGAATGTCCTAAGAGTGATCAATGAACCCACAGCTGCTGCATTAGCATATGGCATGGACAAATCTGAAGACAAAATGTGAGTCTCATTGTGAATATTTTTAAAAATAACTCATCATGATAAAGAAAACATTAACTTGAATTACAAAATATAAACAAATTTGCTACCTCTGGAATATTTATTTGTTCATGACACTTTCATTCTTTTAGCATTGCTGTGTATGACCTTGGTGGTGGAACATTCGACATATCCGTCTTAGAGATCCAGAAGGGTGTTTTTGAGGTGAAATCCACCAATGGGGATACGTTCCTTGGTGGTGAAGATTTTGATAATACCTTGGTGGAGTACCTTGTCAGTGAATTCAAGAGAGAAGTGAGTGGAGTCACTGTTCTCTTTGTAATTTTTACTGTAGTGAAAATTGATCTGACATCATTTATGATTCTTTCATTGCAGCAAGGCATAGATGTGAGGAAAGATGTGATGGCTCTCCAGCGAGTGAAAGAGGCAGCTGAAAAGGCCAAGATTGAATTGTCTTCTTCAATGATGACAGACATTAATCTTCCATACCTGACAATGGACCAGTCTGGTCCAAAGCACATGAATTTGAAGGTGAGAACAGGAATATGGGGTCTATTTCATGGATTCCATGCATTGGAAGATGGTGGTTATGATGATTTCTCTCCTTTCCTGATTGGAGCACTCAATTTGCTGTTCAATTATTTATTGAGTGCCCTTTGTTGACATGCCTTGAGGGTCGCTGAACTACATGTAGCAGACTTGATACTACTGCACCTGAAAATGCTGCACAAGTTCAAAATTAGGCCATGACTAATTCACTTACATTTATGATTTGTTCTCTCAAGATGAGTCGAGCCAAATTGGAATCTCTTGTGGAATCCCTGATCAAAAGGACAGTTGACCCTTGTCTGAAAGCTATCCAGGATGCAGAAGTCAATAAGTCAGAAATTGGAGATGTTATCCTGGTTGGAGGCATGACAAGAATGCCCAAGGTTTGTTTGCAGTGCTGGATTATTTTGCATGGCTAGAAACCTTGTCTTTTAATTATGCTTATCACATAATTTCTATGTCTCGGCCAACCAGGTTCAACAAACAGTGCAGGAGATTTTTGGACGTACTCCAAGCAAATCTGTGAATCCAGATGAAGCGGTGGCCATGGGAGCTGCTATACAGGGTGGTGTTCTTGCTGGAGATGTAACAGATGTCCTCTTACTCGATGTCACTCCTCTGTCTCTTGGCATTGAAACCCTGGGAGGGGTGTTCACCAAGCTGATTGGTCGCAATACCACCATTCCCACAAAGAAGAGCCAGGTAGGCTTGCCAGTGCTCACATTGGTGTCAAATGATCTCCGGATTAAGTCATTATTTATCATTGCTGTGATGTGAATATTTTTCGTCACCTGAAGCCTCTAATCTTGAGGCTCCTTGTGGACTTAAAGGGTCTGAGCATACAAAGTAGGCTTTTACATATTGATGCTTATTTTTTTCATTGTTATGAAAATATTTTTCAAGCTTTTATCTTTTGCTTTTGGCCAGGTCTTCTCAACAGCTGCAGATGGGCAGACCCAAGTGGAAATCAAAGTCCTGCAAGGAGAACGAGAGATGGCTGGAGACAACAAGCTCTTGGGCCAGTTCACCCTCGTTGGTATCCCACCAGCTCCTCGGGGAGTCCCACAGATTGAAGTGATCTTTGACATTGATGCCAATGGCATTGTCCATGTCTCTGCCCGGGATAAGGGCACCGGAAAGGAGCAACAAAGTTAGTGCTCTTTTATCTCAGGTGACCTGGTATTGTTGGGCGATTTTGGACACCAAAGATGATTTTAATGTAATTCATTTTTTCAGTTGTAATCCAGAGCTCAGGTGGTTTGAGCAAGGAGGAGATAGAGAACATGGTGCGTAAGGCTGAGCAATATGCAGAACAAGACAAAGTACGTAAAGAGAGGGTTGAAGCTGTCAATTCTGCTGAGGGCATTATCCATGACACAGAGACTAAGATGGAAGAGTTTAAGGATCAACTTCCTCAAGAGGAGGTGAGTTGATGTGTTTTGTTTGGTAATTGTTGACAGATGACATAAGCCATGCATTTCTTACTTGACAAAACCCTACGCAGTGGTTTCATTAATCCATGTATATGACATTCTTCCTAAATTTATATTAAAGTTAAGTATTATTTCTTGGGCAGTGTGCCAAACTGAAGGAGCACATTGCAAAGGTTCGAGAGGCCCTTGCAAAGAAGGATGACATGACTCCTGAGGAAATAAAGAAAACTTCAAATGATCTCCAACAGGCTTCATTGAAGCTCTTTGAAATGGCCTACAAGAAGGTGAGTCAATTTTCCTATCATTGGTAGTTGTAGATGGATCCAGTACCTCTATTCTTTTGAGAAACCTGGTTTTTTTTTAAATATTTATTGGTATTTTACTCTTTCTTCTTCATTTGCACTTGGATATTTCCAATAAATATCTTAACTGTGCACCCTTTTTGTGCACATATTTTCTATTCAAACTCAATAACACTATCTCAGGTATTTGTCAGGAAAATGTAGACGCTACAATGGTTTGACTTGGGGAAGAATAGTGTGATACCTCACCAACAAGCTTATAGGCTGCTCATGTGCCTTTCAAATACAGGAATGACTGCCTCACCTGATTGTGTGGCACTGAAGCAAAAAGAATGCTTCATTATCATGGTCAGAGGTGTCTTTCAATTTCATGAACGCTGTTCATTTGTTTGTTACAGCAGCCAGTTGTCCACATTCTGACAATTATACTTTATTTTTAGACGCTTTCCCAATGATGAACAAGTTTCTGGTTTGATGACTTGTCCACTAACAAACTGAATAGCTTATTGTTTGTCAAAGTTCTGCAATTTCAAGGTTAAACATTTTTTTAGTTTGTTCTTTTTTAAGTTTGCCATGGCCAAGTGGGGTGTATATGTGGACTTGACCATTGATCCCATTCACATGTCATACTGGCAGCTGAGATTTTCATTCCAAAGCTTACTGTCTATTCAATCTGTTTTTCGTAAGCATGTTTTATTACTGAATATAGCATGCCTGCAAAGACAGATTGCCTACATGCCATGTCTTTGAACTCTGAAATTGCTTTATTTATCATACTTGCCATAATTTCAGATGATTTCACTCTAATCAAGAAACAGTTTGTCAGATACTTTTGCACACTTAGTTGACACTTTGCTTGTGTCTCTGCCCAGATGGCATCAGAACGAGAGGGGAGTGGTTCCAGTGGCTCAAGCGGCCAGCAGGACAGTAGTGGAGAACAGAAGCGAGAGGAGAAGAATTAGATGGGCGCAGCATCCTTTTTATTCCTACTCGCTGTACCAGTGCGGATGGAAGGACGATCGCGGGTGACGATGGGGAACCCACGGTTGCTTCTGACTCCCTTGTGTTGGCACTTAGGCATTGTGGCTCATGGGTGCTGACTGTTGCCTCAAGTTCCAGCAAAATACACCTTTTTCTGTCTGATTGTTGTCTTTTTCTATGCATTAAGAGCTCGGTTTGTTGAACCTCATTGCCAACTTACCAGGATATAATAATGCTCTTTTTCTTTCCATATATAGAGACTATGACAAAAGTGAATAGACACCCCCCTCGAAACACCCATTTATTCAGAAGCCAAGCACTGGGGAAAAATAAGTATTATAATCTATTCGGCCTCAAAAGATACACTTGCGGCTTCGATGTGAAAGGTCAAGGGGGAGCCTCGGTCATTAAACATCACTTATGCTCCTCACATGAGACATGGTGAATGGAGGGATTTTCCTTGAAAATCAGGGTTGCCGACTTTCTTTCGTTCAATCGGGTGAAGGGGGATTCCAATGGATCTCTATTAGCTGACTGAAAGGTGCTGTCCTCTATCTGACTTTTATGTCTTTTGCTGCCGAATAGACTATACCAATACTTTGTGGCATAGCTTTTGCGTAACACGCTGACTCATTGGGTGGACGAGATCTACAATCCTTGTCTACAGGGACTGCAACGCATTCTTGACGCAGTATGTATCTGGGAATTTCCGGGAAGTGGGTTTACCAGGACACTTTCACAGGGATAGGTCCAGGGTCGGACTGGCCCAGCGGGATATCAGAAAATTTCCCGGGGGCCCTCCCCCCAGACTTGATAATAAAAAAAAAATAAGTTATATGTATATTCTTGGAAAGGAAGGGGGAGTCCCGGGGGGGCCTGGGCCGCCAGTCCGACCCTGTATCGGTCGAGGGTTCACGTGCTCAATGGGGTCCATGTCTGGCGATTGGCCGGGCCATGGGAGAGTGGTGATCCCTCGAGTCCCTTTCCACCTTTGCATTGCGTGGGCAGTGTGAGCTGGGCGCCATCTTCCATTAAATCACTGCCTTTTTGGTTCAAACGACCATCGGCATTGGCAGAAGTCCCTCTTGGAGAGCGTTGATGTATCGTGCAGAAGTTAGTTACTTCGCAGATTATCAGCTGTGATCGTCCGGTGGCCCAAAGTCGCACCCCACTCCATGACAGACGCACCGCTGATTGTTGCTTGCTGAAAGCTGATGAAAATTCCGGTGCTGGACGACGCCAAATCCATAAACGACCACTGAGAACTGCGAAAACCCGGACTCATGGGTCATGGGGAAAACGACAGCGTTCCAAAATGCAGGAGGGCGTGGGAGCACCTGCGTCTCGCCCGCTCTTCCGCTGGCTTCTGCCGACTTTGCGCTCCCTGTCGAAGTCCTTCATTCTCCGTGAAGCCTCTTCATGGCGCGGCGGTCTGGAGACTAAGGCTTCCGATGACCTGCTCTCATAGCCAGCAATGATCGGCCTGTCTCGTGGATGCATTGGCCTCTTGAAATCTCAGTGGGTGTCTGTTTACTCGTGTCGAGGTGGTGGGGGGGGGGGGGGGGGGGGGGAGGGGGGGGGGGAGCAGCTTCTCCCTCTGTCACTGACTCTCCCTTCGCGTAATATCTCCTGCCTGAGAAACACTCGAGGGCAGGGCTCCATACCATTAAAAAAAAAAAGGAATTTACATTTTACATTTTAAATGTATTTTAGTTTAAAATGCATGTATACAGGATTGTCGTGAAGAAACCAGCCAACCTTGATTGGTCTTAACTTTCGAAGGGACTACCAGAATCGGCTTATGTTTGACAGATATTGATGGACCCGAAAGCATATTTTCCACGCCCGCCAGATTGCGATGCATGTCGATAGTGGATGCTGTGGTTTCAAACGTAGAAGGGTTATCTAGAGAGAATCACGCTGGCGTTCGCTCGCGACCGTTGCTGGGGACCGCAAAGCGATCATAGCGTCCTCCTTCCCGGCATCCACTCGATGACTGCGCGAAGTCGCACAAGCTTGCCTCCCGCTCGCGCAGGTTTCTTATATGCTGCCCGGGGGTCAGCGCGGCCTGGTTCTCGTCGTGGCAGTGGAGCGGCGGCGGGCGGGGATGCCGAGCGAGAGCGTGTCTGGCGTTCCCCCCCCCACCGCGAGGAGGAGGCGGTTCTCGGGTCGGTGGCTTATCTGTGTTATCTGGGCTTGTCCTGGGGCGGGGAGGGAGGGATTCGGTGACGTGATGGAAGGGGAAGTGGTCTGTAGAAAGTGTCCGAGGGAAGTTTAGTCTGTTTATATAGACGTAGATCTTCATCCCTTTCATTGGAGACGGTGCATTTATGTAAATGTAAAGAAAAACGAGCCTTTACGCGTGACCTCTACCTCGCTTGAGTAAACGGTCACTCTTTCCGCGTTCGAGAAAAGAACGTTTTGCCCTTGCAGCCCTTGAATCGAGAATCGAAGGAGTGTTGCGCCACGCAACGACAGTCCGTGCACGCCACAAAGTGAAATTGGCAGGATGTTGCATCACGGCGTGACATCGCCCTTTCCCCCCCCCCCCCCTTCCCCTTATAGTCGCGTTGTTGGCGCCGCCTTTCGGCAGTTCTCGGCGGGCTCTCGTGGCTGAACGGTCTCCGTTTTGTGCGTCTTTGCTGTGTCGTCTTGTGGGAGGCCCCGTGACGAATTTTTTTGACCGGGTTGGGGCCAATTGGAAAGCGGGATTGGGTCGAGGGTGTATAGCATGAAACCCTCCGACCCACGCCCACAAACGAGCCAATTCATCGTCGGGCCGAGTGAAAACTTGCAGTCGAGACGATAGCTCCACTGAAAGCCTCGAGGGCTCTCAAAGTCTCTCGCAAAGCCCAAGAAACGGCCCATCTCCAGCGGCGAACGTGGACTTCTCTCTCCCGGCGACGGCACGACGGCCCCTCGCATCGCGGCGTGACACCCGACACCTCACTTCCGGTAAGCGACACCGGCCGGATATTGCACCACGGAACGACATCGGGTGAAACCCCCTCGCAAGAGCTTCATGGCCCTCCCACGCGGATAGGGACAGGTTTCACCGCTAGATGGTGCGGGACTCGCAGTGGAGCCGCTTCCGTTCTCGATGAGCGACGTGGCCCCTCTCCCTGCCGTCGACGACTTTCTCACTTCGCCTCTTGCTAGATGGAGTCAACCGAGAACATGTAAAGTCCAAAAAGTCTGTTTTGACTTTAAAATTCTTTTCTTTTTTAATGGGAAGTCTTGATTTTACCCAATCCTGAGTTTCACTCGGACGTGAAAGAATATTCGCATATCAACGTAAAAATAAGCTGTACTTGGAAATAATTAAGGAAGACAATCGTTCTAGCACTCTTTCGTCGTCCCTCATTCAAAATCACTCGAGATTTCGGCTTGGGGACACAGATAGCGCGAATCTGAAAAGCGCGAGCTCGCGCATTTCCCGGGTCCGAATTGGCCGAGGGGTTCATTGGTTCGAGTACCTGCGCTTAATCAGATAGATCCTTAAATCTTGATCCTTGATTTCCGTCTCCGAGGCGTTCGTGGTCGCCTGGGCCCATGAAAGAAAAAAAAATATATATATATATATGTATATGAAAATAGATATAAATATCAAGAAACCCCGAAGGTTAAACGGATCGGCGGGGCAATTTCGAGGAAGAGAAAAGTAGCTTCGAAACGGGGGGAAGAATCATTTTGGCATCGTTTCCGGCTGCTCTCTTCCAGGTCCGACCCTCGGCGATGGGCCGCGCTTCGAATATGCAGGAATCTCCGACAGGCGAAAGAGCAGGAGATCGTCTCGCCCGGTTTCCCCCCAGGCGAGACGAGTCCGGGGTCGGGTCGGCGTCGCGTGTGGCTCGCCCCGCTGGCCCATAAGTGCTTGGTGAGGCGCTTGTTCGTTGTCGCCGGTGGGTCGTGCGATCTTCATCTTTGCTGATACTCTTTCTTATTGTTCTTTCCGCGTAGATGACGTCCAGGCGGCCTCCAAGTCCGAGTGGTCCCATGTCCACGTGATTTCCTGTCCAGGTTGAGGCTTCTACCGCATCGTCGGGATCGGCTGGTAAGGAGAGGCGAGTTTCCTTGGGTCTCTGCCCCTTTCGTCCGAACTCGCGTCGTCGAAGTGAGTCGTGCTGTTGCTCCCTCTATAGGCTGCATCCCGCAGGAGCCCTCGTCTGGTGGATCTGGCCCTCTCGTCGGCCGGAGCAAGAGGGAAATGCCATCGTGGCAGGGGTACCCCTCATCGGCAGCGAGGACGTCATGGCTCATGAGTTTCTTTCTGTGATTTTTTTTTTTTTTGCAACTCGACGGACGCACTTGAGGTGGACGACAACTTCTGTGGAGGATGATTTTTTCCCCCATCGGATACCACAGTGTTCATCCAGAACTTTAAAGTCGCCTCGAGGTAGAAATCGACCTGATCTCCGCTGCACGAAAGCTCCTCCAGGCCGCTCGAAAGCTGAAGTCTTTCTTCGGGGACGATGTCGAATGGTCCTTCCTCTCCTTCCTCCCGTTCGCGGTTGCTCTCTATGGGAAGGGTTCCTCGGTTGGCGGGTGAGACCGGCTGGAGGGGGAGGGCGGGTTCGTTTCTTCGAGGGGATGGGGTCCGGTGTGCTCGTATGTGTTCGTGTGATTAGAGTCCTAGGGGGGCCATTCTAAGGCCATACTCGGGGTCAGAGCATGTAGATTTTCTTCGTATGTTAAAAAAAGTTTTAAAAAATTAGCTTAAACGCTTTTTCGAGTAATCATAGTAGTCAGATAGGTTCACACCCAGGAAAATGATAACATTGATAGAAGAAGCAGGACGATTTTTATTATTATTACAAAAGTGCTGATCTCGAGGAAGAGTGCAATCCCGAAAAATGAATGAAGTCTCTTGTCTTCAATATCCCTATGGTTACGATGTGGGAAACCGGTTTCCCAAAGAAATTATTAGGTTATCTCTACAGAGATTACCTAATCCTCATCCCTCCCTGATCCTGAAGAGATCCCCATCCCTCCCCGAGTAGAAACCTTGTACAATTTCCAACAAATTATGTATTGGTGACTGGCTGATTATGTTCCTTGACTCGATCACAAAACCATGTATTTAGAAGGGTAGAGAAGGCACAGGGCACTAGAGTTATTCCTAGCCAGCTGTATCTCAAGGCACTGCAGATATGAAATTGAAAATCGACACTCCACCAGCTCCTTTCCAACCCACCCTTCTGTAACATCCTTGGAATGAAGCTCTGCTCATCAAAAGGATTCATATCATTCCGTCAACTGAGACGTGTGGCAATAGCGTCGTCCTCGTTATCCCGTTTGAAAATAATACGTCTTATAGACATTATTTTCGTATTATGAACGTTTTCTATTCCTTCTTTCCCAATTCGTCTTGCAACCTCATCACATTTCTTGAACCCTTCTGCTTAAATGCTGCCCAATTTAAACTCTACCACGTGTAGCATATCATGAGTGTACCTAACTCTCTACATGAGGGCTAAAAATGATATATCAACTACCTCTGTCCCCAACTCTCTCTCCAACTTCATTCCATGATTAAAGTTGTGTGAAGGATTGTTTTGAAGGAATTGGTGACGAGTAACAAATATCTGTTAGGGAAAACAATATCGGAAAGTGAAATTTCAAACAACTGCATGATGAAGGATATTCAAGTCGCTCGAATCTTCAACGATAAAATTCCATTTTACATAGCACAGTGTAGGTCGGAATCAAACTTCCCAATTGGGGAGGAAGTAGTCAACGGGCTACGTAAATTCTATCCATGAATTCTCTCTATTTTCCCTTGATATTCGCTATGCTATCTGTATCTAGGTCGAATGGCCAAGCATCATGACCTACAAACGAATTCTCTCCAAACTCGTTCTCCTACCTCATTCCATGGTTGAAGCCTTGCTTAAATCAATGTAATGCATTCAGGACGTCTTCATAATATTACAAATGAGGTTTAAAGAAGGATAACTGATTAAGAAAAATTATGTAATTAAGAACATTCTTAACAATATTCGAGAATGAAGGATCTCAACCATAAAAGTTAATTCGGAAGCATACGTTCCATCGCTGGAAATTCCCTCGGAATAGATATAAATATTTTGATTATCTTGAAACCTAAAGAGTGAGGATGATGGAAGTAACTTGCATATGAATACAATGAATAATGCAAGCCACTAGAAAGTCAACCTTTTTTGCGACTTGAATCTAAGAACGAAGTCTTTCCACGTCTTCTTTTCCAATTCGTCTTCCTACTTCATTCCAGGTTTGAACNTCCATCGCTGGAAATTCCCTCGGAATAGATATAAATATTTTGATTATCTTGAAACCTAAAGAGTGAGGATGATGGAAGTGACTTGCATATGAATCAAATGAATAATGCAAGCCATTAAAAAGTCAACATTTTTTTGCGACTTGAATCTAAGAACGTAGTCTTTAGACTTGAATTGAAAACTTGAATAGATGTAAATATTTTGATTACCAAATCCCATCCCTCCCAATTTGTCTTCTAACCTCATTCCAGGTCTGGAGTCCTGCTTGATGATATTGAATTATTGTTTTCAGGAAAAGAGTATATATATTTTTTCTTCTTGAAACTCCAAGGGCGGGATACTACCTTCATTGAACGTATACTTATGTTACTTATTACGTTCGGTGATCTTTCAGTTGGAAAAAACGCTGAACTTAGATTCTTGCTTCAGAAAGGTGCAGAAGAAAAGGTTAAGCAGAAGGATGAACATTCCAGGTTTGAACCTTTCTATGAAGAAGGTTGATGCATTTGGGAAGTGTTCAGAATGCTATAACTTTCCTACCTCATTCCAAGATTAAGCCTTACATAAATGAGTGTAATGCTGTTGAGACGTGTTCAGAATGGTATAAATGAAATGCTCTCAAGATGGATAACTCAGACAAATGATGTATTTAAGAAAATTATTAGCAATATCCAAGAATGAGAAGGATCTTATTGTATAAAAGTTAATTCGGAAGCATACGTTCCATCGCTGGAAATTCCTTCGAAATAGATATAAATATTTTGATTATCTTGAAACCTAAAGAGTGAGGATGATGGAAGTAACTTGCATATGAATACAATGAATGATGCAAGCCATTAAAAAGTCAACATTTTTTGCGACTTGAATCTAAGAACGTAGTCTTTCCAGTTCTTCTTTCCCGACTCGTCTTCCTACTTCATTCCAGGTTTGAACCTTTGTATGAAGAAGGTTGATGCATTTGGGAAGTGTTCAGAATGCTATAAGATAACTGCGGAAAGGATAGCGATTCGTCAGGGGAAATAAATAATTCCTATAATTAATAAAGGTCTTGACCCTGTCCAAGAATGCAAGGCATTTTGACTCACAGGGTTTCATTTGGAGAAAGCTCCAAATATGATGAAAATTACAAAAATGTTTTTGAAAGCAGGTTGATTTAACGAGTCGCAGAAATTGGAATGCCATGATGTGAATGGGAATTTAATCCATGTTCTAAAATTTAAGCATCATGGGAAAATTGTCTTAGTGAGATTCTTGAGCATGCTAGATAACCGGAGCGTATTCGGCATATTTTGACCCTCAAGTTCCATGAGGGAACTAAAAATAATTTATTTCCACTTCCTCTTCCCAACTCGCTCTCCTACTTCATTCCAAGATAAAGCCTTGCTTAAATGAATGTAATGCATTCAAGACGTCTTCGTAATGTTGCAAATGACGTTTGAAGAAGGATACCTGGTTAAGATAAATTATGTAATTAAGAACATTCTTAACAATATTCGAGAATGAAGGATCTTTACCATAAAAGTTAATTCGGAAGCATATGTTCCATCGCTGGAAATTCCCTCGGAATAGATATAAATATTTTGATTATCTTGAAACCTAAAGAGTGAGGATGATGGAAGTGACTTGCATATGAATCAAATGAATAATGCAAGCCATTAAAAAGTCAACATCCATAGCTGGAAATTCCCTCGGAATAGATATAAATATTTTGATTATCTTGAAACCTAAAGAGTGAGGATGATGGAAGTGACTTGCATATGAATCAAATGAATAATGCAAGCCATTAAAAAGTCAACTTTTTTTGCGACTTGAATCTAAGAACGTAGTCTTTCCACTTCTTCTTTCCCTATTCGGGTTCCTGCCTCATTCCAGGTTTGAATCCCTGTATCAAGGAGGTTGATGCATTTGCGAAGATTTCAGAATGCTATAAATAATATACCTACGGGAAGGATAGTGATTTGACCGGGAAACAAATATTTCCTGTAATTAAAAGTCTTGACCCTGTCCAAGAATGAGAACCATTTTGGCTCTAAAGTTTTCATTCCTGAGCATAATTTTCATTCGAAGAAAGCTCGAAATAAGTACCATGAATGAACTTACCAAATCCCATCCCTCCCAATTTGTCTTCTAACCTCATTCCAGGTCTGGAGTCCTGCTTGATGATTCTGAATTATTGTTTTCAGGAAAAGAGTATATATATTTTTTCTTCTTGAAACTCAAAGGGCGGGAATGATGGAAGTAACTTGCATATGAATACAATGAATAATGCAAGCCACTAGAAAGGCAACCTTTTTTGCGACTTGAATCTAAGAACGAAGTCTTTCCAGTTCTTTTCCGATTCGTCTTCCTACTTCATTCCAGGTTTGAACCTTTCTATGAAGACGGTTGATGCATTTGGGAAGTGTTCAGAATGCTATAAGATAACTGCGGAAAGCATAGCGATTCGTCTGGGGAAATAAATAATTCCTATAATTAATAAAGGTCTTGACCCTGTCCAAGAATGCAAGGCATTTTGACTGACATGGTTTCATTTGGAGAAAGTTCTAGATATGATGAAAATTAAAAAAATGTTTTTGGAAGCAATTTTGATTTAACGAGTTGCAGAAATTGGAATGCCATGATGTGAATGGGAATTTAATCCATGTTCTGAAATCATGGGAAAATTGTCTTATTAAGATTCTTGAGCATACTATATAACCAGAGCGTATTCGGCATATTTTGACCCTCAGGTTCCATGAGAGAGCTAAAAATAATTTTTTTCCACTTCCTCTTCCTGGCTCGTTTTCCTACCTCATTCCAAGATTAAGTCTTACTTAAATGATTGTAATTCTTTTGAGAAGTATTCAGAATGGTACAAATTGAGATGGTTTCAGGATGGATAACTATTTGAGACCACTTATGTATTTAAGGAAATTGTTAGTAATATCCAAGAATGAGAAGGATTTTCACCATAAAAGTTCATTTGGGAGCATACGTTCCATTGTTTGGAAATTAAATCTAGTTTAAAACTTTCAATTTGTTTTGTAATGGAAATATTTTTTCAAGTTTCTATATGCTATATGGAAGACGTTTTCTTTGTTTTGAAACCTATAGATCGAGGAATCAGGATGAATCTTGCATAAGAAAACAACAAATAATGCATACTTTTAGAAGTTGACTTTATATGCGACTTGAATCTAAGAACGAATTCTTTCCACTTCCTTTTTCGCTATTCGGGTTCCTGCCTTCTTCCAGGTTTGAATCCCTTGATCAAGAAGGTTGATGCATTTGTGAAGTTTTCCGAATGCTACTT